GGGATTCCAGGTGTGTGCCACCATATCTGGCTTTTTATGTGTGATTTTTGGGATCTGATTCAGGTCCTCATGGTGGCATGGCAGGCACTTTACCCACTCAGCAATCTTCCCAGCTTCCATCTGGCTCCCCCTTTAGATCACGAATTACTTGAAGTGGAAACCAGGCCTCATTCAGCTGTTTCCCAGGTCCAGCACTGCCCCTTAGCAGAGAACTGACTTATGACTATGTATGTTGTGCAAGATCATAGGAGCACAAAGGAACCAAGGACACATTGGGCTTGTTCTGCGGAGCCCATTATGTAGATGGGAGGGCAACTTTTGTAGTTGACATGGGAACAGAGGGTATCAGTGCCTACTGACAGCATGGAATTTCTACTCTAAAGTAGAGGTGGAATTACATTTGTTTTCTCATTTTGCCCTTCATTAAAACAGGCCAAACTACCCAGGACACTGTTTTCTCAGGGTCTGGCCCTGCTTCAGCTCAAGGTGACTTTACTTTTCCAAAGTTTGATACTCTTCTATCTCTGGTTTGTCTCTCTGATCCATTGCTGTTAACCCTCAGATTATGGCTCAAACCTGGCATGTGGGCTTTCTGCTGTCTCCTTCACAGTGGGTGAATCTACTTTCACTTTGTTAAGAATCCACTACTCCAACTTCAGGGCCTTGTTACATGAAGCTACATTACACCACAGCACATAGCTCTCCAAATTCCTTCCCTTCACTGTCTCCTAAGGCAGGGAAATGTGTCTTCAGATGCTCATTCCTCTCAATTCCCCTGACAAGAATCTATGTCTTCTCCCAAGCAGAGTCTGGGAGACAAATGTCTGTTGCTTTAATATGCTAATTTGGTTAATCAACAATAAACACCTAACACATCTGTGTGTGTCGGTGTGTATGCATGTAATTCAATAGCTAGTTTTCTTTAAAACTACATGTATTTCATTTTATTCCATGCATTTACTTTTTTTGAAACAGTGTCTCTCTCTCTGTAGCTCCAGCTGGCCTGTAAATCACTACATAGACCAGGCTAGCCTCAATCTCACAGCGATCCGCCTGTCTCTGCCTCTAGAGTGCTGGAATAATAGGTGTATGCCACCACATTGTCCCTTGTACCTTAAAACCATTCCCCTGAGAAGGGGTCAGAGGCTTCGCCAGTCTTCCATAGTACCTGTGTCACACAGTCCCTACCCCAGGCTCCGCTTGAGAGAGCCAGGTTTGACCTGAAGTGTTCATGGCAGGAGCAAATCAGGCAGATAACAAGGGAGGCAGAGGAAACTTCATGGGGGCTGATACAGGCCGTGTCTGGAGACAGACATTTCCTGATATAGGTTAGGTGTACAAGTGGTATGACTGTATTAAGATACTACCTTATCACTACCACACTCAGCCATTGGTAGGTGTGTTCGCATTTAATTCTCAGGCTGGCATTGCTCCCCAGAGAACTCCTAGGGACGCTTCTAGGGATTCGAATATCTGCCAACCTCAGCACCTGTCTTTTCGAACATGACTGCATTACCCTGTGTTTGGCTTTTGTAGCCGTTATAGATATTTATTTTGATTCACTTTATCTTCCCTGGAGTATACTTAAGACTTGAACTGTCTATCCATGTGGCAACTTGTTTGCAATCTCATCCAGAGAAGTTTGATTTCTATAACAATCTGACTTTTCTTTCCAGTCTTGGTGGGCATCTCCAGCCCTGAGTACCACCATCTTGCTATTCATTTACCCCACTGTGTAGCTACCATTTATTACAACTATTTTCCATGTTTGCTTTCAAGTTCCCATCCAGGGAGCCAACTATATCCAGCACTTCCTCCTCTCTGTCTCTGTCTCTCTGGCTTTATGCCTGTTTCTGCCCATTAATCAAGGCCTGTCAGATGCAGTTGGTGACTCTTTCCAGCTCTCTCTAGCCCGAAAAACTCCTGTAAGTTTTTGTGAGCCACTGGAGAAGTCAGAAAGAGGACCTAGGAAAGGGGCTTTCTGGTGGGCATCAGTGAATCACCATCAAATCACAGTTCAGACAGGCTTGGCCAGGTCCTTCTGGCCATCTGATGAGTCACTACTTTGGGGGAGTGAATGATCACCCAGACAGATAATGTGTCAGTGCCTCTCCTCTGCCTGGCACTAGATATCAGAATAGTCTGCTGCTGCTCCTTCCATGTGGGCACATTGCAGGGAACTGACTCAACTCTATGAGAAATTTAAACCAGTAAGGAGGGTTAGGGGGCTTGCCATTAGGTGAGCTGGAGTCTGAACCTTGCAAGAAATATTTAAGACAGGTCTGTCTTATCTAACAACCACTGAATCAAAGTCTTGTGAGCTAAGGTCTTCTCCATAGCTATCAATGCTCTGCTTTCTATCTGGATGTGTTTTAATGGTTAGGCCTGGCTGTATTTTGTGTGATTGTGAAGCATGTAGGGTAGATGAAGGCTTGGGTACAAGGCCAAAATGACAATAGCTTGCAAGAAGGAAGTATCTGTCATGCTAAGCAATGATAGGGATGGTCTCATTTAAATCTCAGCTAGGCCATTGCTCACTTTATGAGACACGGATTATGAAATAGATTTCCCCAAGTGCTTATGGGCAGAAAAAAAAAAAACCTACATCAACAATAAAGTGATCCTCCTTGATCATCCAAACTAGGACACTTGGGAGTAAAGGGGGAACTGTTTATAATTTTTTTCCAGGCAACAGATGGCAAGGTAGAATGTCCCAGTACTCTTTTAAACAAGAGTGTTTGCGGTTCCAATCCCAAATTGTTTCCCACTTGCACATTGGTTCCCAAGGGAGTAAGAGGAGCTATTTCAGTTCTACATTCTTCTTCCACCTGCTCCCTTCTCCTCTTCTCCTCTGGAGATGTTGAAATGAAGCTCAAATCCCCATCTTTTTAAGAAGTCCCATCAGCAGTTCTGATATGCTGCCAGGCATGAGAATTCCTACATTCAATGATACAAACTTTGAGGACAAGCCATTCTTGTTCACTAGTCTGTCTTAGTACTGGTAGAGGGATATACAGTAGACACTTGCTAGATCTTCATTAATGAAGAAAGGAATCGTTTCATGAATTAATAAAGAATGTACAGGGGCAAGTGTAAGTGTCACTGTGTTCAGGTACTATACATGAGTTTGGGACACTCATCACATCGTGGGAAATGAGAAACTGGTAAATTGTGGTGACACTTGCCAGGCTATTCTTCAATTCCACCATTAAGATTAAGGCAGATTCAGTGCTATGTCTGAGCAGGAAAATGACATGGTTCGATTTGTAATTCTGAAAGAACACTCCTGTGGTTGTGTTCCGGGTTAAGCCCAAGAGAAACTGGACACTGGAAGTATTTAGAACATGTTTTTAAAAGAGCTACTGAGTGCCCAGCATAATATAACCTTTTACATAATTGAGAGAGTGCCAAGCCCGGGCAACTCCACCTCTGCTCAGCATCAGCCTCTAGACACACACTCTGCGTAGTGATCTGAAAGCCACTCTTTCAGGAGAATAGTTTCTCCCATTTGCTTGCTAGCTTCTCCCCCAATATCATGCTTCTGCCATGTTGGTGGCTGCCTGGGTGGAAGGGACCTAGTCAGATTCAGAAAAGTAAGGGTCCTTTCGTGACCACACAGCTTATCTGTTCACTGTGATTTTTCCCATATTATTTACTGTCCATGACCTTCAGGCCACCTGAGGGTCAAAACACAGTATTACAGCTCTCTAGCTGGGGACAGGGTACCAAAGGGAGCTACAGACATGGGTGTTTCCCCATGTCTGGCTGTGGTTCCCACCTCCCCACCAATGCAGCTCAGGGGACCTGGCTATTTGTAATCCTATGTCCTGGGGCTTCCCGCAAAGCATTGCCCTGTCTGGCTAGGAAACCACAGGACTGTGTGAGATGAAAGACATCCTTCACGCTTATGGCGACGAGAATGCTGTCTGTATAAACCATGTGACGTGGGGACCAATTCATAAACATTTTGCAGGCTGATGATGAATGGTGGAGCCACTTGGGTTGACTCTTTAATTGGCTTCTCTCAAGGGACAGACAGCATCTGAGATGGCTATGGACCAGTGGGGACTGGTGGTATCATGTCCCTGTATTTATAAGCAGTTTGACATGCTTTCTTTCCTCTGTGACCAAAGCCTGTGTCCTGCGTCCTCCTTCTTCCTCTAGCTGACCAGATCCTAGCTTCCCTCCAGTACTTCCTCCTTCCTGAAACCTTCCCTTAATCCCTATGTCCTTAGCTCATCCCTCCAGCTGAATGCTGTCTCATTCCCCTCATCTGTCTCTATTAATTCCCTAAGTATTTAGGCAGTGTTTGCCAGCTTATCCTGAAGCATTTCACATGGGTATTACTTAATCTTTAGTCTTTGACACCAACACTATATGACTTCTATACATGTCTCTTGTGCCTCAGTGAGCCACCGTGAACCACTAACTATAAAGAGGGCTGGAATTCTGATGTTTGGCTCTCCAACTTCTGCAAGGTAGGGTAGCATGGGTAAGAATGTGGGGAGAGGTTTAATAATCAAATTTACAGTGTATATGGCACAGCTATAATTATCAACCCATTTGATGCATTAGGAAATAGAGTCACATGGAAAACAAGCAATGTCCTCCAAATCATTTATCCAGACATGAGGGAGACAGGATTAATCCCCTAAGTTGACCACTCCTCAGGCTAAAGTAGGAAGCATCTTCCTGGAAAGATGCTTGAAGGAGGAAGAGGATGATGAATACATGGTAGACTAAGAAGCAGGATGGTGGTCAGTTGTCTCCAAGAGTAGAAACAAGGACAACTTCAGGGCACAGTCTAAGAGAGGACATAACAGAGCTCAAGTTGGGAATTGAAATAGTATTACCAAAGTATGGAGTGAGATCCAGGTATTACTTAATCTCTTTATAAGCAGGTTTTAATTCCAGGTTTGTATTATTATCCTTATTTAAAACATAAGAATATGGAGGCTCACAGTGATGGTAAACAGACGAAAGTTAGACCTCAGCTGGGCTTGAGTGACTTCAAAGTCTATCAATGACCCAACATTCCACACTGTCTTCTTACACTGAAAAACAGGAGCAGGAGTCACTGGATAGCTTCTACGAATTGCCTGGGATTGGAATTCCTGTTCTTCCTCCTAGATTTATAAACAGAAGCTGTGGGTCTGTGGAAGCCAAAGTACACAGGACAGATGCAAACAAGCCACCCATTGAGGAGGATTCCAGCATGCTACTGGTGTGTGTGTCTGCTTGCATCTCTGTCCCTGAGGTCTCCAGCCATTTCTGGGCTTGGTGGTTGATACCTGGCTGTAAAGTGTCTCTGGGCTGTCTAGCAGCTTGGTGGCCTGATATGGTCAGGGTGCTGTGGTCTGGACAACCAGCTGATAAATTGCTTTCACTTCTTCCAGGCTCACTGCCGAGTCCTTTCAGAAGAAGGAAGAGTAAGAAAAATGTTTGTGATGATTTGGAATTAAAGCGGCCTACTTTCATACGGCTTTGGTTCACTCATTCATCTACAAAGTATTGGCTGAGCCCCGTGATGGTTAATCTTGAACTGTCAATCTGATTGTCTTGAGGAATGCCTAGATACGTGAAGCACTCTTCTAGGTGTGTCTATGTGGGCTTTCCCAGAGAGAATTAGATTATAAGGTCACTAGCCAGACAAATGATTTAATCTACTGTTGGCTGCAAAATCTGAATAGACTATTGGGAAGTGGCAGAACTGTGGGAGGTGGAACCTGGTTCAAAGAAGGAGGTCACTGGGGATGTGTTCTTGGAAGCCTTACCTTGCTGTGGCTCCTTCCTCTTACTGCTTCACTCTATTCCAGTCTGCCGTAATGTGAGCTGCTCACCACGGCCTCCCAACCAACAACACTGACTGAAATCACTGAGGCTGTGGGTCATGTAAACCCCTTACATTGTTTCTGCTAAGTATTTGCTCATAGTGTTGAAAAAAAAAAAAAAAAGCTCACCAGTACAAGGCCTTCCAGTGTCATAGGTACTATCCCAAGTCATGGAACCCAGTGATGACTGAAATAATCCTCACCTTTTTAAAAGAATGTCCAGCTTATTGGGTGGGGACAGTGAGAAAAGGCACATGTGAATGTGGACTATGTGGACTGCAGCAGGGTCAAGACATAAGAAAAAGAAGTCCAGGGAAGATGACATGTGATGTAGAGTGTGGGCTTCTGGACAAAACGGCTGCCAGCTTCATCACGTCAGCTGTGCCTGCATGAAAGCTGCTCACAGAAGTGGGATCTGAGGAGCACTCAGCTGAACAACCAGCCATTCCTACCAGCCATTGTGTGCAGTTCTGCCCTAACTGCATCTGGCCTCATAGTCTTGGGGAAAGGCTCTTGTATATAGGCTAGAGAAGTTCAACGGGAGGAGGATTCATCTACCTTGCCATGGGGAAGCTATTATCCATGCCAAGTCCAGACCTTCCAGTGGGTCTGCTTTTAGGTCACCCATGCTCCAGCCTGTAACCCTTCACCCAAGCCCTGTAACTAAGCCTAATGAACTCATTGGTCCTCCAGGGTGAACTTCAGTGGAATCCTACTTTAGTTTGTCATCGTGACCTTATGAGAAAGGGGTGGGGGTAGATATTGTTTATATCTGCCAAAGGAAGGAATTCTCACAGGAAAATGACACTTGAGTAAAGATAAGACAAAGCAAAGGAGCAGGCCAGGTAGGAATCCGGGAGACCAGGACCCTCTGGTAAAGGGAACAGCAAGTTCGGAAGCTGTGAAAGGTGTGAAAGGAAGGACCTTGGGTGCCCAGGTCATGTGGGGAGCCAATACCTGGGGAAACACTGGGAGCTGAAGTGCGAGAGCAGGTGCTGGAGCTGAGATGTTTAGGGCAAAAAGAGAAAGATGTAGAAAGAATTGTGCCACGTTCTTCCCGTGAAGGGCTCAACTAGAAAGACATGATTTATCCTGAGTGAAGCCAGAAATTGGAACAAGATGTCACTGCATAGAAGTTATTGGGGATCAATTTCAGTCCTCTAATAAATGTGTTAGATAATGAACATCAGAGCCCTAGCTCTGAAGACACAGGATAAGTGCTAATTAATTCATTTAGACTTTTCTTTTTTTTGTCTTTTGAGAGACGGGGTCTCCCTGTAGTCTTAGCTGGTCTGGAACTCACTATGTAAACCAGGCTGGCCTTGAACTCATAGACGTTTGCCTGCCTCTGCCTCCCAAGTGCTGGGACTAAAGGTGTGTGCCACCATGCCCAGCTAGACATTTTTTGAGAGCCTCTTCTGTTCTAAAAAATAGATGTGCATATAAGATTCATTTTAAACTTTGATCCATTATTTAAACAACAGCAATACATTGCATTTGGCTGCTATGCCTTAGACCTCTTTTGCTCATGAGTCCCATATTAGTTTGCTGTGGTCATCATAATAAAAGAGAACAGACTGGGTGGTTTAAACACCAGATATGTATTTCTTACAATTCAGGATGCTCAAAGCCAAAGATCAAGGTGTTGGCAGGATTGGATTCTTTTGAGGCCAGAGTCCTTGGCTTGTAGATTATGGTTTTTCTCTCTGTATGTTCACATGGCCTCTCTCTGAACATCTGTTTCTTAATCACTTCTCACAGGACACTAGCCATGTTGGATTAGGGCCCACCCACATGGCCTTATTTAACTTAGTTGCCTCTTTTTAAAAAAAAAACATTATTTTTTATTTTTTATTTTATGTGTATGAGTGTATTGCTTGCATGTATGTGAGTGCACCCATGTCATGCATTGCCGCGGTGGTCAGAAGAGGGCTTCGGATTCCCCTGGAAACTAGAGTTAAAGACAGTTCGTAGCTGCCATGTGGGTGCTGGGAATCAAACCCCTGTCCTCTGCAAGAGCAGTCAGTGCTCTTAACCACTGAGCCATCTCTCCAGCCCTGTAGTTACCTCTTTTAAGGTGCTATCTCCAAATACAGTGATTTTTGTGGACTAGGGATTCAACACATTAATTTTGGAAGGACAATGTTTAGCCCAGAACAGGCTCTTTCCCTCACAATTTATTCATCAGAGGAACTGAACCATTCGCTCTACAATGAGTTGTTCTATCCGCATTTTTCAGATTTCTTCCTCGCGGTTTTCAGTATTGCCTGTGAACTGTGCTTAGATGTTTGGATGAATTTTGGTTTAATTTCTTTTTTTTTTAAGCAAGAATACTACGTTAGGAGTTGGTGTGTATTTTTACTGGAGGTGAATAATGGCTGATTTCTTCTTTCTGTGATATACAAAAAATCTGGAAAACAACAAGAAATTTAGGTAAATGCTTAACAAAACTGTAGTGTATTTACACAATGGAATTCTATTCAGCAGTAAAGAAAGATAAAATAATGAAATTTGCAAGTAAATGGATGGATCTAGAAACTGTTATACTAAGTAAAGTAACACAGACTCAGAAAAAAAAATTATGTTAAATGATGTGTGTTCTCCCTCATATGTGGCTCCTAGCACAAAATCCTTTTAAATTCCAGGTCCTTTTAATATGATGATGCTATACAGCAGTCCCTTCTGCATGAAATAACTACCATCATCACGACTTCAGCTGAACCTGATCGCTAAACATAGACACTTGTTGACGGTTGTGCTCATTCATTAAAGGAGGGCCAAGCAGGGTCACTGGACCCTCACCTGAGTATCCAGCCACTCTTCCCAGCCAACTAGTCCAGCCTTGGAAGACAAAAGTAAAATGAGGAGGAACCTAATAGAGGGATGCTTTTGGAAGCCCTTGTCAAGAAACTCCTAATGGACTCTCATATGAACAGTTGAAAATTGCCCTGTTCTGACTTTTTTCTAGTTCCCTGTCTAGACATTGTAATGCTAATTACTCTTGCCTTTACTTCTCCTTCACATCTCCTATTTATTATTTAAGGACTTTCTTTCCTGCCCCCCTAAAGATAAGAATTATGCAATTTTGGAGTCTTTTAGATAGACCCACTGAAGAGGTTCTCCAATTGCCTCACCCTCCGTCCCTATTCAGCATGGAAGAAGCCAGAGCAGTCTGAGTCCCTATTCCCTATTGGCAATTTGGGTAACCCTTTCAGAGGATGGTGTGATAAGAATAAGAGGTAGGAATTGGCTAGGCAGTTAGGGTAAAAAGGCCCCAAAGAAATGTAGCCAGTTTCTTGGCTAAAAGTCAAAATGTCCTTGGGTCTGTTAGCAACACACTCTGTTCCAAAGGCCAAACCTATCAAAAGTATTTGGGAGCTTGTATCTAATCCTTAAAAGATTTTAGGGTTACCTCTTCAGAGGGGGGGAATGTTGGAGGGGAGGGAGTGGGCATGGATTTGGTCAAAATACCTTATATGCATGTATGAAATTCTCAATAAAGTTTCTGTAAAAGTTAAAAAAATTCAAGGAAGCAGGAAAAAAAAAAAAAAAAGAAAGAAAAGAAACTATCCATTGGCAGCCACACACAAAAAAAAGAACTATGGAATACCTAGAATATGTTGGTGGTCGCTAAGTAGGGAGTGCTTTGAGACACACCTGAAACCCCTAATGTGTTTCTGAATCAGACTGAGATTCAGTTACATCCAACTTTACTTATCAACAGCAATTTTATGGGACACTTAGTTGGTAAATACAATTAAGTTTGCATGTGGGTTGAGGTTGTAGTTTAAAACAGCATTTCCTATGTCCTGCCATGCAAAAAGAGACATTTTATAGAGTCGCAGAGAGGTGGAGAGGACATGTTCCAAGGCACTTAGATATGGACCTCAGTCCTGCCTTGCCACATTCTAGAACATTGTCCTAGCCAAGCTGCTCAAAATTCCTGAATGATGAAATGCACACTAAACGCCTATCTTCAAAATTGGCTTCAGTTGTTCCTTTCCCACATACCCTTCTCGTCCCCTTCTTCTTCCTGCTTTGACTGACAGCTCCTCTCTAGAAAGCTCCTCTCCCTTGATGCTTTCTTCCTCCTGCCTGTACTTAGCTAACTTTTTGCTGTTTACATGAGTGTCTTCAGGTCTGGACCATGCATGTTTAACTGCTGTCATAACAACTACCTCTTCTTAGAAGAGCTCAGTGAATACTTGAATGGCTCAAGAGTTGCTCCTGAGTAGTGTTCAGAATTCAACTACAAATATGAAATGTCAGGATGTTTGTAATAATTACTTATAATGTACTGGGGATGTCACTCAGTTGGTGAGTGCCTGCGTAATATGCACACAGCCTGGGTTCCACCCCAGTACCACAGAAGCCAGGTGTGGTAGCTCATACCTCTAATCTAACTTAGGAGGTACAGGCAGGAGGATTCGGAAGTTCATGGTCATTCTCAGCTACATAGGAAGTTTGAGGCCAGCTTAGGCTACATGAGATCCATTCTCAAAAATCAAAATTGCTGATTCCCCAGGGCTCAAATCCAGGTCAGTAGATTCTCCACAAGCACTTTGGAGAACAGATTTTCAAGAGAATTTCTAGTGATTCTAGTGTACAGTCAGAAATGAAAGCCCTCTCAACTCTAATGTACCATAGTGGTTCTCGGTTCTAGGCCTCAGACCAGCAGCAGCACTAGTATCTACTTGGAAATTTGTTAGAAATGCAGTCTTGCACATTGTTCTAGACTTATGGAGTCAGGGTTCAGCTGTCTGTACTTAATCCATCCTCCAGGAGAATCATTATCTTAAGCAGGAGTCAGCAACCATTGTCTACAAGACAGAAAATACACTTAGTCTTTTTAACAAAATATTTTATTCTTTTTATTTTATGTGTACGAGTGTTTTGTGTACATGTGTGTAAGTGTACCAATGTCCTGCAGTGCCTGTGGCGGTCCAAAGAGGGTGTTGGGTTACTCTGGAACTGAAGTCACAGATGTTTGTTAGCTGCCATGGTGGGTGGGTGCTTGGAATCAAACCTGATCCTCTGTAAGAGCAACCAGTGCTCTTAATTGCTGAGCCATCTCTCTAGCCCTGGTAATTTAGCCTTACTATACCAACATGTGGTTGCTACAGCCATTCCACACTGTTACTGTTGCTCCAGCAGCTAATGACATTATGCAAATATGTAAGTGATGTTGTGTTCTTATAAAACTACTTAAAAATTAATCTGAAGCCATAAATTTAGCAACGTTTGTTCTTAGGGATTAGCTCAGTCAACTGTTCCTGTGTCACCAGTTACTACATGAGTGATTTCAAGTGGCAATTCTATCTTTCATTGACCAATGCAGTCTTAGGCTTGTCTTAGGGACAGGAAACTACACCCCGCCCCCAGGCACAGCTGCAGTCAGGTGGTAAAGAGAAAGCATCAGGTTAAAAAGGAGATGAAGAATGAGGACACTAATTAAATTCATAATGGCTGAGGTAATATATTCAGGAGATCCAGCATGTGGCCAGTGCCTTGTAAATGCTGATTACTGCCCCTGTAATATGATTCTTAATCATTCTTTAGTTTTGTTTTTATAAGTCAAGGCTGGCTATTGGATGTAACTCCTTATTCTTTTGGGAAGGCTCTTGAGGACATCTTCGGAGATGGGTCTGATGACAACAGGTGTAGAGAGTCATTGGAGCTAGCAGCTTGCCCCAGTGTTGGAGCAGTGTTGTTCTCTGTGCTATAGGCTGTTTGTTCAGAAGAGGCCACAGGGCAGGCTTGTTATGACATGATCACTTAATGCTCATGATGGTTAAGTCATTCCTGATGGTCCAAACTTGATATGGATGGAGAACTCCAGTCCTGGTGTGAAAAAGGGATGAACTTGCTTGACTGGAGCTTAAATAATAGGACATTCTTAGTTAATGAGAGTTTGGTTTTTAGAACCTTTTAGGGCAATGATACAAAGAAACTTGAAAGAGCACATTGGTCCTTGAAGATTTATTTTTAGAGGTAGTGGTTAATTTACAAGGACCATCCTGGGCTTAGCACTCCTTTTGACCTCAGTCCTTCTGATTTGGGTCCAAGATACTCTCAGGGTACACTTCTATCAGAGCCACCTGTAGATTTAGCAATACAGATACATTTCTAGTCCCAATGCTCACAGATTCTGGCTTGGGAACTGCGCTGGACAGCTTTAGCTGTCAACTTGACACACCTAGGTAGAGGGAATTTCAACTGAGTAATTGTCTCCTTTGGATTGAACTGTGGCCTTGTCTGTGAGGAATTTTCTTGATTGATGAGTTGTGTGGGAGGGCCCAGCCCACTGTGGGTGTTGCCACCCGTGGGCAGGTGGTCTTATATTGTATAAGAATGCAGGATGAGCACAGGCCAGAGGAGCAAGCAAGCCAGCACCATTCCTCCATGGTCTGTTCTCCAGGTTCAGGATCTGAACTCCTGCCTTTTGGACATATTGACATGACTGAACAGTACTTAGGGCTCTCATGCAGAGCTGATCAAAATTGGAAAGCCCTGAATTCTGAGCTCTTAAAGGGCAGAGCCAGGTTTTATCCTTGTGTCCCTGGCACGGTGCTCGGCAACACAATGTTGAGTTTAGCTTGTGAGTCCCTTTGTTCTATATGACTAGAAACAGGGGCCCAGGAAAGTGAAATGACTCCCTTATGGCTATGTTGTTGATGCAAGACAAGGTCACCCACATCTTTACCTCCGTGCTCATTGGTGACTGGCCTTCCCAAGCTACTTCTTGGGAAAGGATCCTATGTATGAAATATCTACTACTGGGGGCTGGAGAGACGGTTCAGTGGTTAAGAACACTGACTACTCTTGCAGAGGACCCAGGTTTGATTCCCAGCACCCACGTGGCGGCCAACAACTGTCCACAACTCCAGTCCCAGGTGATCTGATGTCTTCTTCTGACCTTCGGGCATTGCATGACATGGGTACACTTACATACATGCAGGCAATATACTCATACACATTAAAAATAAAATAAATAAAATATTAAAAAAATCTTCTACTATGTGTTAGTCTTTGCACTGAGTGATTTAAGCATGCTATTATTGCATTTTATTCTCTATTGAATAAGAGTTGCTAAGTTTGCATTATTTTGCTCTCTTTTGTAGAGGAGGAAACACGCTGAACAATCACATGACTGATGATGACAGGTGGGAGAAGAATTCCTAAGAGACTCCTTTGTGATTGAAAGGATGTGACGTGGCCTCTGGGCTCCTGACTGTTCTGTAAGTACGGCCCTTGAGAGAGGAGTTCGGGGTGTGAAGAATCATCATTGCCCACTGATGTTCCTGCATTCGTTTGTGTGTGTTACTCTTCAGTGACAAGGTGGAACCGGAGTCTGGGTGGGCCTGTATGACTGTATTGCAAACCCGTTTCCATCTGTTCGACCTTGCTACATTCACCCATGACAGCTTGGCTCCTTACCAACCAACTGTGGGGGAATTTCCACGTGAAGTGACACAAGCTGTGAGAGGGAGGTGTAAGCTAGAACCCAGGGATTTTTATTCTCAGTATTCTTTTCCATCTTCATGAGAAGAGGCCCCAGAAGACACCTGGGTGTGACTACTTCAAGAATAACAGATCACAGAAGCCCATTTTAGACAAGACTAAGAAGCTTTTGTCACTGTTGATACCTACATCACCTCATGATTTTCTTAAAATAAAAGCTTTATCCATGTGCAACTGGCATATTGTAAACCACATGTATTTGAAGTTTATCATTTTATAATTTAAAATATTTTTATTTATTATTTTTATTTTTATGTGTATGACTGTGTTGTTGCAAGTGTACCTGTGTTGTGCAGTGCCCATGGAGGTCAGAAGAAGGCGTCAGAGTCCCTGGAACTGGAGTTATGAGTGATTGTTAGCCACCATGTGGGTGCTGGGATTCAAACCCAGGTCCTCTGCAAGAGTAGCCAGTGCTTTTAACCACTGAGCCATCTCTCCAGCTCCCTAGTTTGATAATTTTTGACATGTGGCTGTATCCATGTAATCAGGATAATGATCCTATCAGTGTCACTGAAGTTCTCTTTATAATCTCTTCTTTATCCACACCTGCTCCCCTCAAAGCATTTATCAGTGGTTTCTGTTCGTTTACTTTGCATAAGTATTTGCATTTGCCAGCAATTTATTGCTTTTTATTGCTGTGTGATAGTCCATTTTATAGACGCACATGGTTTGTATATCTACTTACCCATTAATGATTATGTTATTAGATTAAATAGATATGAATTCTATTTAATTTATGGAAATAGAACACTAAAAATATTACCATATTTTACATATTACTCTTTGAAAGTAGACATAAAGACAAAGGCAACTAATATACAAAATAACTACTTTATTTAAATTTTTATCATTCCGTAATTACAACTAAACAAAATGAGTGAAAGCTAATTTCCCAATGTAAACACTATAGTCATACTTTACACACAATTTACAATTAGACAAACCAGCTTGCTTCACACTTTCCTTATCTAGCTTAATGACAACTTAGTAGAGAAATAAATATCACAAACTATGTTGTTAGAATGGTAGAAAAGATCTTAAATTTTAAAGCAGTTACAGTTAATTTTAGAATACTCACTTTTGATTTTTATCTAAAATTAAGCAAACAATGGCACAAGTTCCAAATATATATTTTATCAGAGTTCTAATCCAATATATTTACTTTGTATAATTATTGTTAAAGATAAATGGTTTTTTAATGAAAGCCACATCTTCTACCTTTAACACTGTGGGATTATAGTTGGCAAACTAATATTAAGATATGAGGCTCTAACAGGTCCTGGTGTGCAGTTAGCAGGTGTCTTTGAGACTGTGTAATGGGAATCCAGGTTAGGCTTACCGTGTGTGTGTGTGTGTGTGTGTGTGTGTGTATTGGTTACATGCCTGCATTTTTCTTGTCAAAATACTCACCATAGAGCAGCTGAATCATATGGTAGGAATGTATCGACCATTTAAGAAAGTGCCACACTGTGTTCCAGTGTGGCGGCGGTTGTGCTATCTTGTATTTTCCAGTATTCCAGGTCCTCCACATCCACATCAGTGCTTGGAATAGTCAGCCCTTTCGCTTTGGTTGATAGGTCAGTAGTACAGATATTGTAATTATGTCTCTGCCCAGCTCTCTACTGTCTGAGCCAAGAGCCTACCTGCGCTCCAAGTTTCACCTTTCATGTGAGCCTGTGTGCTGGGCTTTGAGTTGAGGCCTGCAGACTTTCTTCAGGCAGTAAGCTAGGGTAGTTGTTGGGCTCACCTGAGCTGAAAACCAAGGCCAGGTTCTTCACCTTGTTAGCTAATGTCCCTTACTTCCTCACCGACTCTGGCAGGTATCACCGTCCTATATGTGATATCCAGTGTTTTGTAAATCATTGCTTCATATTTTGCCCCTTTTGGGTGTTGTTTCTGGCAGAAAGGCAAATCTCATCCCTTTTAATCTGTCCCAAGTAGAGGTTTCTTTTGCTTCCGGGGTATTTAATTCTTTCTAGAACTCTGTGGAAGCAACTCCAGTCTTTCCTTCACATGGAGATATCAGTGACTTAAAACATCTGTATGTAGTAAATGTTCAAAGCTTTACACTAAAGTAATGATGCCCTAAGGATGAACTATAGTCATCTGTCTGTGTATGATCACGGCTCTCCCACCTGATTTATGCAAAACAAAGCAAACTAATGCATAAGGAAACAAAACTAAGATGCAGTTCATAAATCCAACTGCTGACACTGATGAGTCAATGAATGGTCCTGGGAACCACTTTTTACCAGGTGCTGTATCAGGAAGGAAGGATCTAAATATGAACAATGGCTGCCTGTCTTCAATGGGCTCACAGTATCCTGGGGGCAGAAATCCATGAACAACTTAGTAGCATAAATTTAGATGTATGAATCTTAATGGGTGTCAGGTTAGTTCTGTGTCAGTGGAGTAAGAGCTGCACAGTCTGATCAATGGAGATATTTAGAGACCCTAACCAGTGATGTCTGTGCCATCCTTGTCCTGTGACTTCCAAGATCACAGGATAACTATCTGTATTCTGGAAGGGAAAAAGGCACTTAGAAGATCACTCCAGGGACATCTCTAGCAGCCAGATCAGGAAGTGATGTCCATTATGTCTCCTCAGTTCTCATTGACCAGAGCCCAGCCCTCTGACCACATCCTACTGTGAGGAACTCTGGGATATGTAGTCAACCGATGTGCTGAAGAAGAAAAGAAAGAGATTTTAGATACTGCTAAGAGTTATGGAGTATGGAGACCTCTGATACTAATTTATACCTTTTCTGAGCAATTTGCTATGGTAACTCACAGAGATTTGATGGAGAGAGGAGGGGCTGAGGCTGTCATGTGCAATTGATGTTGGCCTATGGCCTTTGTACAATCACAGGCAGGAGGAGAGGAGCAAGTAGAGTATAAAGTGGTGTCCAGCTGGGCTACAGATAGGCATGTGAGAGCACATCTGCTTCCTTCCTTTTATAATGGCCTGTAATTAGCAGGTTGCCAGAAAGGAACATAAGGCCCCCTTAGTGAGGTGGTTTTAAGCCACCTCATGAAACAGAAGCCTCAAAAGCAGAGTTTAGAAAGACAATAGGCCTCAAATCAATACTGTCCTTCAGTGTGACACAGGAACACAGGCTATTTTGTTACTCTAAACCCCGACTTTAACTCACTGTTAGGTCTTGTCTAATTGATTATGCTATTAGGACTTTGTACAGGGCTTTAGAGTTAGACTGACACAGCCCTGAGACACAATTCCATAGCTGCTAAACCAAGTTCTGTGCCTTGGCATCTTTATCTATAAAATGGAGCAGCACAATGCCTGATCACAACATCATAATAAGGTCTAAGTGAATTTATATTTGCAAAACACTTGGTACAATCCTAGCATATAACCAGTACTGTCTTCATAACAGCAATTATTATTGGGAATCATAATTCTCACCTGATATAGTTAGGTTAGGACCAATGGAAGAGGAGCACATAGCTTGATTGCCAACCTCATATACCAACAAGAGTGAAAGCAGACGTCCTCATATATAGTGTGATGGTGGCTTCATCATCATGGTGAGGAGCAGAGAAGCTGGATCTGCTGTTCAAAACCAAAAGGAAGGGAGGAAAGCAAGTGTCTTCCTGTGGTGACTATTAGACAAGGAAGTACCAGGAGGTCTAGAACACTCTGTTTTGCCAGTTACAGTTACCACATCTATTGCATTTTCAGGTTGAGTTCTCAGATGCAGGTGTACTGGGTTTCCCTTTTCATCTTTTCATGGCTTCTTCCGTCTTGTTGTTGTTGTTGTTCTGGTCCCAGTATCTGACCTCTAACATCACTGTTGCTAACAGTGTGGTTCACTGTGTTTCTGATTTGCCTTCTTGGCACTTTGTTCTAAGTTGTCCCCATCCACATCCAGCTCTGATTCTCTCCTGGATACACCTAAAGATGCAAGTCATTGGGGTATCCAGTGGTAATTCTTAGCATCATACAGTAAAGCCACTCATCCATGTGCCTGTTGCTCCCAACTAGATCATGACCTGCCACTTTGACTGCACAATTACCATCTGCACCTCAGCATATTTGAGGATTAAACACTCATTGCTGTTTGGTATATACATTTGTGGAATGTATGTAATATACCAAACAAGAAGAGCATGAACCAGGGTGTTTACCATCCCACATTCTGTCAGTTCTGGTTACGTACTGCTTCCCAGACTTCCAAGATGTAATGCGAGGCCCTCCCCCTTCTTCATACCTGCTGCCCTCAGAGTAGTTCTATGATTCCAAGTGCCATCATGTCACATCCCCAACCACTCTCTCCTCTATAACAGCCAGAGGAAGTTTATATTATATTCCATGCTGGACCTTTCCTATATTAAACTCTTCAGTGTTAACAGGTCATTCTTACAATCATGTGCAAACATCTTGCCATTTCTCACAAAGCCGAGCACTATCTTCTGTTCTTTCCTTCACAGCATAGGCTGTCCTTTCCCTTCATTTGAGGTGCCAGATCCTTCGTTTCCTTGCTTTCCACCTGGCTAGCTCCCTCCTCTCATTCAGGTCTACTGTATATGTTTCCACTTCAGAGAGGCCACCACAGACTCCTAAACTCATTTTGTATGTTCTCCTCTTTTATTTTCTTCAAAGTTTGACACTCTACGATTTTTCCTTTTTTTTTTTTTTAATCTGCTAATTTGTTGTCATTCTCTTCCATCTAAATCAAATTTCATCCTAGGACAGACTTTAGTTCGATCACAGTTGCATTACCAGGGATATTAGATGTCTGGCATATAATAGGTACTCAGTGTATACTGGATTAATATAAGTACTTTTCTAGGTATTTGATAATCCTTTAGTCCATTACTTTGGGGTCTTAGGAACAGCTGGACATCTTGGTGGCTAAAATGCTGTTGGATTGCTAGGCTTCTAAGTTGAAAAGCAGAATACTGAGTCCTGCTAATACAATATGAGCTATGTTTTGAGCACCAGAAAGATGACTCAGTGATTTAGCATATGTACTCTGCATGCAGTTTAGAGTACCTATGTCAGGTGGCTCTCGAGTGCCTGTGACTCCAGCTCCAGGGAATCTGACACCCTCTTCTGGCCTCTGTGAACACCTGCACACTCATGGCATACATTCACATAGACACATGCACATAAATAAAAATAAATCTTCAAAGGAACAAATAGCAGTGACAT